TGATAATTTGCAAAGACGTTAAGATTGCTGGACAAATGCAAGTTTGGGATTAGGTTGACCAGCTACAGTGACTCGAAGTGAGGACATTAGTAACCAAGAGACCTTTTTACATTGCTTGTTTCAATTTCAGAGTCTGATGGGGGCAGGAGGGAGGAAGAGGAGAAAGAGCTGTTCGTCTGTCAGCTGAAAGTCACGACTGTTACGGTATATATTTAATCCCAAAGGTTAGAGAATCCTACCCTATTTTCTTCTTCCCATCCTTCCAGAAATGGTTTCACCGGGGGCTAGTAACTGTCTTTTGCAGCCTCGCAAACAAGGTTTTATAAATAAGCCACTGTCTGGGCCACAGTGAGTTGTCACCTGAGGGATGACAACAGAAGCTGTACAGATGCTGGCTGCGCTGTTCAGTGGCAGCCCTGGGGACAGAGCCTTTCACTTGGGCCAGGGTGAACTGTCCAGGTCTTAAATGGTCCCTTGCCTTTGTGGTCTGGGAGCTTGTGCCTTGGAGCTTATCCAGACAGTCCCATTCTAGGATATATGTTCCTTTTTGAAGAAAAATGTCCTAGAAGCCAGTGCTTCTGACCGCAGGGGGACAAGCAGCTGCTGCCGCAGGGGGAGGAATTGCCAGATACCTGGATGCAGGAGTGCTCTGGAGATGGGCAGTGCTGCTTGCTGTGGCACTGAACAGCTGCTTCTGGCACTGCTGCTTTCATGCTCTGTGGCATGTACTTTCCCTGCAACGTTCCCAGTTCCTTCATCCTTTTGTCCCGCACTTGATGCTAGCTGTGGTTCAGGGTATTACCACTGGCGCCTGGAGGGGCTGGAAATGTTGATGGTGTTTTGTCAGCGCTGGTAGTTCCCCGTCCTTCGTGTCAGTGCTCTGCAGCTGTGTTGCAGGGGTGGCCTGGGTGTTTCCATGCCTGCGTAGGCATAAAGCATGGGCACACCGAATGGAAAGTCTTGCTAGCAACCCAGACAATGCTGGGAGCTTCTGTGTTGCTGAGGAGGAGGAGGCAGGCAGAGCTCCCTCGCCAACAGCCACAGAGGCAACGTGTTGCGTCACCCCAAGACATCACATGCTTACTCGGCAGGAGGAAGGCTGCTTTGATCAAAACGGAGAGTTGCAATGAGAGACCTGTGGTCTTCTCAGGCCACGTTGCTGCAAGTGAGGATGGCCACGTTTCCCCCTCTGCTCTTGAGAGTATCTGGCTGTAGGACTTGTGGAGCCAAGGAGAGCCTCTTGAATGTTTTCCAAGCTCTGAGAGTTCTCACGCCTCGGTGCAGCAAGCTTCCCGAGAGGATTGGAGGCTTGGAGTTTTCTCCAATTAAAAAACGTTAACGCCATCAAAATAACTGGCTGAGCATTGTAGCGTTTCCAGCAAAGAGATGGGGAACCAGGCAGACTTTTCATTCTGATGAGTCACTGACTGTCTCCTGATTTGCCTCTTATAAGAGCTGTTCGGGCAGCTGCTGATGCAGGGATGTGATTCTGAGTGATGGTCCCTGAGGAGCAGGAGAGGGCTGCATGCTGCCTCACCTCTGAACTGGTAGATAGTTCATCTGCCGAGCTCTTCATCAGTAAAGCCTTGCTCACAGCTGTGGTTCTTGCCTGCCTTGATGCTGCCTTGTCAGGATAGCTGGGGAGCTGATGGGGAGGGAGGGGTGTCAGTGCAGAGAAACAAAATCCCCAAGTGCTTTCTGTAGTCCTAAAAGCATGAACTGGAAATCGGAGGGTCTGATGCGTTATGTTCCTGGATCTTATAACCATGTCACAGCTGAAGATTTTGTCTCTGTCCTGAAGAAAGAGTCTGGTCCCTCTCTAGGACCCAAGAGCTTGACCCAAGAGCTGTCTGTACCTGTATCCGTTCCCTGTGCGCAGACAGGACCACTGTCCACTGTTCTGTAGCTGGTCCCCAAATCCTCTTGTGTGTTTTAATGATGCCCACGTCTCCTGAGAGAGGAGATCTTGGAAGCTAGGCAGTTTCTGTTCTGGGGATGTTGAGGATGAAGGGGCTACAAGTATGTGACTTATTTTTGAGGGAAATTCTAGGTGAATTGGGAAGAACAATGTAGAATCATATTAATGGACTAAAAAGTCTTGTCAGGAAAAGCTTTTATCTTCTATTAGTCGCTCTTTGTGCCTGTGACTCTATATAAAATAAGATCGTTGATGGGGTGGGGACTCTGCAAACAGAGAAGGGAGCCTGGTAGACTCCCAGCTCTCTCTGTGGGCTCTTTATTAATACTTAATATGACTTGGATGCACACAGGAATCTTATCTGTTGGAGTAAAGGGTCATGGATGCTTTTTTTTTCTTGTTAGCGTATTTTTCACAGTAGAATCATGCCTTTGCTTATTAATTGAAAACTAGAAAAAGGCTTTTTCCCCATGTGTCTCTCCTCAAAAAGGAGGGCTGTTGATTGGTTCAAGGCCAAAAAAAACAGACTTAGAGACAAACTAATCTGTAATCTCACTGCTTTGTTTAACTTTATCTGGGGAGCTTCAGTTGTGTGGCTAGTTTTACAAAACAAAAACAAACGAAAAAGGAATGGTTCTTAGGCAGACTTTGCTCTAACAGACACCTACCTAATTTGATCAGACTCCAGTGAAGTAAAAGTTATTTAAAGCTTGGCTTGAGGAACTGCCCAGCCTATGTGTTCATGGATCACTGTGAAAGGGCTTATTCAAGTGCATTTAAAATATGGTGCACTGACATTAAGGAGGGCTCCAATCCACAGGCATTCTTTTTTACTGGTAGAAATCTCCGTTCTACTGGTTTGCAAAACCAGAGGATGGAAGTGCCATTACTCAGTGTCCAAGTGTCTACATTGGCGAGCATGTGAAGCATACTAATGGGATAATATTAATAAGAGCTGTTAAATTATTTATATGAATTATTGAATGTGGTATAAAAAACCTTCCACTGTTAATACTGCAAATTAGACCACCAACATATTGCATCTGTTAACATAAATATCCTGTAGGTTGAATCGGACTAATTGTTTTAGCTTCCACAGTCCCTGTAATAGTTTAGTCTCGCTTAAAATGGCTTTCAGAGTTGCTCCTTTCAGAGGTTTTTCCTCATTTTTTTTCTTCACCGTAGCTGCTTATGTAAAGTGTCTGGATGCCCTAAGTGAATTCTGCATTGTCTGTGGCTGCCCCTGCTCATCTTGTACATGCAGGAGAATTTTCTTCTGTTTGTATTTAATTCCTGAAATATAAATATTCCCAAATAACACTCTAGAATATTCTGGAGAAAGTTCTCTGAAAGCTTGAGTCTTGACTAGAAAGGTAAGGAAGGCTTCAATTCTCTGTTGTGTTGTCATTGGAATTATAATGAGAGTTTTGAAGTCTGCCAAGACACATTATTTTCCTCCAAAGCCAAATTGTCCAATGTTTGCTCTCTCCTTTCATGCAATTTCACAATTCCTTCCCCCCCGCGCCATGCCCCCCCCCCCCAGGATCTCTGGTTTACTTTTTTTTATTTTTTTGGCGAGTGACCTTCATGTGGGTATGTGGAAAGCATTTGTCTTTTGACACATCTTGATTTTTGTTGAAATTTTGAGAATTGGTTATTGGAGTAGCGACAAAGGATGGGAAATTTTAATACAAAGGACAATTCTTGGAGAGAGGTTTTTAGAATAGTTCTCCTTCAAGCTGTGTTCATGGTGACAGTGGTGTGACTCATTGAGCAAACTTCCTGGCATTTCTGCCAGCTGTGATTTCTCAGGATTTTAAAGGAGGTGATAACTGAATTATAAATAGATGATATGTTCCATCTGTAAATTTCGAAGCTAGATTCAGAGCTTCGCAGAAGGTGGGGGTGGTTTTTTTTGGACCCTAGGTTGGTTCTGGCTATGGTATTTTGCCAAAGGGGCAGCTGATTCATCTCCAGACATGCAGACACACCAGAGTCGTTGTAGCGAGATGCTCACTCAGTGTCTTGATTCTGTATAGCATGCGTGCTTGGAATGCCTTCCAGATTTGCCTTCCAGTTCAACCACTCACTCTCTTATGTCTGCTAGCCATCAGAAGCTTACCTGACTGCCGAAATCCTTGCAGTGTCATGTGGGAGACCAATGAAATAAAAGTAAAATCACGTGGGAAGTGATCAAGCCTGTGCCAGAGAATCCCCCTTTGGTACTGATATTCTGAGTTGCACAGCCTCTCTCATACTAGTTCATTTTAGGGAAGGGATTGATTTAAATGTGTCGTTTAAAAGAAATAAATATTTACAGACTTACTTTTCAATTTTATTTTTTTTTTGAGGGCTGAAATACGCGATTGCTGTTATGTGCATTTGAAGTACGTGCATACCTGTGTGTTTTGCTGCACTACTTTGCTAACTAGAACCACTTTTAAATGGACCTTCTACCATTGTGTCAGTCGGGCTTTCTTAGCACAGAAGGGAGCTGAACCACGCAGTTAACTTCATGGACACCAGTCTGTCTGTTCAGAGCTCTGGCAGAGGGGGGTCCAAATTACCTACCAGCATCAGAGCCTGTCAAGTAATGTGTTGGGTGGTTCAAAAGACCTGCAAAGCTGTAGTAGCTCCTTGCACCAGGACAGGGAGAGGGCTCTTCCCAGGCTTACTTTTGAAATGAGGCAGGCAGTTGTGCAGTCTCCAGCACTGGAGATGCTCGGTGGTGCTTTCCAGCCAACAGGAAGTGTTAGCAGTCGCTGATGGCTAATTTAAGCAGCTGCTTTTTAAAGACACGGGGTCAGTGGCTTCTGTTCTGTGTATGCAAGCAGACGCTGATCTGGTGCCGTTGAGATGGCACAGTGTTTTAGCATGGTGATGGGTGTCTCCCAGGGCTCCGAGGGTGAGTGGCTTTGTTTTGCATGAACTCGCTTGGCTGGGGTGTGAACTAGGTGACCAGCAGTTTGCAGCTTAAGTGATGTTTCTGCCTCCTTTGCAGACCTGGGAAGGTTTCGGGGTCATTGTCTAGGACTCAGGGCACAGCCTGCCGGAGGCACTGGGAGTGGATTGGTCCCTGGTCATGCCCGGTGGAAGGAGGGGACCCAGCCGGCAGCAGCTAAGCCGTTCAGCTTTGCCTTCTCTCCAGACGCTGGTTGGTGGGAGCTGCGGAAACGGTACTGGTTTGAGAAACAGGTGAGGACAAAGGTAGGGTTGTTGAGACACCTGCGGTTAGGATAGTGCTAAAAGCTAGGAGCCTTGATCCACTCTGAACTCTGCACGGGAGTGTGGCTGGTTAAAGCAAGGAAGTGGGAGATGGGGAAACTTGAGCCCTCGGTTGTGGCATTAGGAGATGGCCCATCCAAGAGGGACCGTGGCCTGCGTGACAAAGCTCTTCCAGCTTCTCTTCTCAGCTCTGCTGTGGCACATGCTCCCCTCTGTGGCCCCTCTCTTGACCTCATGTGTTAAAATCAGCCCCATGGGGAGGACTGTGGAAGTGGTCTCAGCCACCCTTCACCTCTCATCATGGTCACAATGGCCAGGGGTGGAAATGGCACAGGGCTAAGTTTGTCTTTCCTTGCAGCAGTTCCCAGAGCAGTGAGTCCTTGTCTAGCAGATGATGAGTCCTTGTCTCTCTTGCTTACTTACCTGCAATGCCACAGGGAGGTAGTGTGACATGTCAGAGCTCAGCTGTGAGCCCCCCTCTGACACGACAGAAAGGCAGGGTAGGAGGATGCCTATATTCTGTTTTAGCCCTGCTGGCTGCAGATTAAACTAATTCTCACAGTTGGCAAAGCTCATCTCCATTTTCTGGGGAAGTTGGGGGCTGAAAAAGGAACACACAGTGACATTTAGATCTCCACATTTGGCATAAAGACTAAAAGGGCCCAGCGTTACTTCCTTCCATACAGAAGCCAGCAGACTAGAGAAACTATTTGCTGCATGTTGAGGCCCTGATCTGCTTGGTATAGGTTCATCCTTAGAAGGTAGAGAGAGCCAAGCCATTTAGCTTTGACCTTTAAAGACTTCTCTGGCTGGGACAGATGGAGGCATGGCTTCTTAGATTCTTGAGGAACAAGTGACTGTTGAGACTGTGGAGTCAGCGCCCCAAGGTCCTGGGGGAGCGTTGCTTATCCTGGTTTCAGTCAGACACAGCATAGTTTATGTCTGAACTTCCTCCATCAGTTCAGTCTGCTGGAGCTTTTAGTTGTCCTAGCCTCCTCTGAAGGCTAGGAAAGAAGGAACTGTGAGAACACTTGAGAGGTCAGCCTCTAGGAAGTGGCTGAACTCCTCCATTCCATTTTTAGTTACCACTTTTTAAGAGAGGAATTGTGAGCAGAAAGACAATGGGCGCTTTGCAATACTGGAGAAGGAAGCTGGGTGCTACTGTAATGTCCTAGTGATGGGTGGAAGGAGCCAACATTAAGCGCTTGGTCTGGCACAGAGCCCTCAATGATTTTTGCTTGCAGTTGCTTCCTCACTCTGTACCTCTGTTTCTCCATCTGCAAGTTTACTGAAATACTGCTGGGCATGTCACAGCACCTCTCGCAGACCAATCTGTTGTCTAGAGAAAATGCTGGATAAGGGTTTTGTCCATGCTCAGAAAATGATGAAGATCACCACCAGTCTTGCGCCAGAAATATGAATGCAAGACTGCTGCCACCTCTCCTCTAGCAATGCCCAGTCCCAAATTCACAATCTCAAGCCCTCCCTGTTCTGGAAAATGGTAGAAATTATGTAGAATGCTTACCAAGGGAGTGATATCTATCTGCTTCAGGAATGGTAGTGCCATCAGCCTCTCTGCACCTCCTATCACAGCGCTGATTACTCCGGAGCCTGTACGTCACTGCCGGATCCCTGAACTGCCATTGGATGGGAGCCTGCTCTTTGAATTCCTGTTCTTCGTCTACCTACTGGTAGCCCTCTTCATTCAGTACATCAACATCTACAAGACTGTCTGGTGGTATCCATACAATCACCCTGCTTCCTGCACCTCGCTGGTAAGTTCACCTGCAAATGCCATCGCTCATGCTTTTTCATTACACAGCTTCTTTTCATGCTTCTTCAGTCCAGGAATCACCAAGCATTTGACATTAAGGGAGTGAAGGAGAGTTCACATGCACCCCCATCAGCCAGGGCCATGTCATCCCCCATTTTACAGGGGAGAAAATACATGGAAGGTGAGAGACAGGTGTCAGCAGGACTCCTTCAGTGGAAATTTCGTGCAGATGCTTGCATGGCCTAGCTAGCCCCTAGGGTTTGAAATGGAGCTGAGACTCCAGGAGCCTGCTCTCTCCTCCTGTGGGTGCCCCTTCCCAGTGGAAACAACAGAGCCTGAGAGAAGGGAGATGATGTGAGTTTTCATTAGGGTCTCACAGCAGGTCAGCAGCAGAGGAGTTGGGGAGTGGGTCAGATCCTCAGCTTATGTAAACATCTCAGTCTCCTCGGTTTCAGTCTTCTTCCTGGCCCAAGAAGCTGCACAACATGGCAGTGACCTGTACCTGAGTCAGCAAACCTCATCTGAGTGAAGCCAGCCTCTGAAGTGGTCCATCAGTTTTTATTTTGTCCTTGCTGCTTGGAAGCATGAGGTGGTTCCTTAGTTAACTGTACCGACAGGCAGTGCTGGTGTTCCGAGTACCTGTTTCAAGTTCAGCTATGCGATGCTAAACAGCTTTCTTTGAAGAAAAAGCATTCTGTTTTAGGCTCCCTAACTGAAAGGATTTAATGGTCATTTGTTTGTTCCCATCAGAAGTCAAGCATTCTTTTTTTACCCAAAATGTCCTTGAAGTCCCAAACAGCAGTATTCAGAGTCTGCTAACTGTTCTAGCCAGAACACATTTGATGGGTTCACTGAAAAATCGTAAGTGGTCCAAGAGCTGTGTCTAACTTGATGCAGCCAGAGCCAACATTAAACTTCTAATACAGATCTATGGTCCATGAGGGTGACATTTCTCAGATCAACTTGATTATCAGGGAGCACTGCTCACTACAAACCATTTCTGAGGCCAAGAGCTAAAGTGAGCTGGTGTGCTCTCTCTGGACTCCATTTTGGCTGCCCTTGCTCTGGTTGCTCACTGGTTTTTCCCAGGAGAACTTGAAAACTCTTCTCCATAGTAGGATCCTGGTCCTAGATGTCCCTTTGACCCCCAAAATACTTGCCTGAAGGGTGGGTTTGTTTTGTTTTCAGTGCAAATCTCTCCATGGGAAGGAACCTCCATGTGGGGAAGATCTTGCTTCTGGAGACATCCCTGTGTTACTGATGTATATCCCTTCTCCCTCATCCCTAATAGAGAGATTTGGGGAACGCTTCCATGAGGTCCTAATGTCCTCTCAGCAGCCAGCTTTCTAGTCCCACCCCAGCTGGGTGGATTGAGAGTCCCTTCCCCTGGTGAAGACCTTTTTTCTTTCCTCCTTCAGAATTTTCACCTCATTGACTACCACCTGGCGGCGTTCATCACAGTGATGCTGGCGCGGAGGCTGGTGTGGGCCCTCATCTCTGAGGTAACATTCCCACTGTCCCCTCTCCTGCCTGTAGTACCAGTTGCACAGCATTGACCATCCATGGCCTGAGAAAATTCTGCAGGTTGGATAGCTGGAGGGTTTCTTCCCCCAGAACAAGTCTGGGTGTAAGGGACTAAGATTTTGGGGATGCCTTCTGCCTTGGAGTTTTCTCCTGGAGCCCATTCATGTCCTGCAGTATTGGGTAGCTCTGTTGCCTCTGCAGCTAGGAGATGAAATGGTCCCACTTGCTTCTTTATCCCTGCAGGCACAATACTGTACTTCACTGTCTCGTGCCAGAGAAGTGGCTGAGAGAATTGCAAGTCAAGTAGCAGAAAGGCAAATAGGGAGGTTAGCCAAGACTGGAAGAATGAACAGGAGATTAGAGGGGAAAGGTCAGGAGGAGGATGTCTGAGTACACTAAAGTGAAATAGGAATAGCTGGTAGAACTGCTTTTCCAGTCTCAGTTACTCAGTAACTCTGAGACTCATTGTCATGTCATGTCACCCTAGATTTTGAGACCCTTTCTGTGTTTGTGAGAGGAGAACCAGGCCAAATAGATGTTTGTGAAAGGTCATTTTGAGGAAAATGGAAGTTCTGTCCACTGAAATGGCTAATACAACTCAAAGCTAAGCAACTAAGCAATAATTTTTAAAATAAATAACATAAAGGAACAGTTATGTCCTATTGAATAGGTGAATGGAGAAGATGGGATCTCTGAAGTTTTATTTTCATCTCTGATTCCTGCCATTTTCATTTATGTTCACATCCTCTGTGAAACTTCCATAGACTGAAATTTCTGCATTGAAACCTTCCATGCAAGTTCTTGCGCATCCCATCTATTGGCTCTAACCCCTAAGAATCTTTTCATAGTTCAGTTGCCTTGTCCCCTCTGGAGATTGGAACAAGCTTTTTTGCTGTCCTTTTGAAGATGGTGCCTCCTCACTAGGCTGCAGCCTGTACATCCAGTAGAGATGAGTGGCGGAAATCTAGTTTTGGGATTCCCACGGTGCACCATCGTCTCTTCCCTCAGCTGAGAACTGTGACATTCCAGTTCTTGAGGAAATGAATGCTGAGACCTGATCCTTCTAAAGGGAAGAACAAGGGGAAAAGTGTTTCAGGCTATCCTGGACTATCATCAGAGCAATAATGGACTTGAGAAAAAATATTTTCTACTTTGCAGCTCTAATTTTTTTTATTTTTTTTTTTTTAAGGCTCTATTTTAGTCATGCCCTACAACTTGTGCTTATTTGAATCTTTTGGATTCTGTCAATCATGAATAAAATCAAAGGCGTTCACCTTTGTAAGAGAGTCAGTCTCCTACTTCTGGGAGGAAGAGGGCAGCCATCCCTCTTGCAGTGCCTCCTGGCAGCCCTCTCCCTGCTTCTCCTCCACAAGCACCCCTGTGCTCCTGTTCTAGCACTAGTGTTACAGGGCTGCTGAATGTTTCTTCTCCATTTGCAGGCCTCTCAGGTGGGTGCGACATCAGTGGTTCACTACATGGTGCGCCTGGTGCTGCTCACCCTCTGTGGATGGGTGCTCTGCTGGACTTTGGTCAACCTCTTCCGCAGCCATTCTGTTCTCAACCTTCTCTTCCTGGGCTACCCGTGAGTGACACCACCTTGTACCTTCAGGGTGGGGGGAGCAGAGCTGCTTGGGGGTGGCATGAGCCACCATGGGAAGCAGAGCTGTCGGCTGTAATCTGTCTCCTCACCTTATGATTAAAGGAGAAGTATGAGTGGCTGGGGGATAATGCTGAGCTGATGAAGCAAATTGCCTCAGTATGCTGTTTGCGTGAGGGGCCTTTACTGCGACTGTAGACTGAGCCATTTGGATCATTGGTTCCACGAATGGGATTTAAAGAAGCTTCTCTGCACAGCTGTTGAAGCTGCAGCCTCTAGCCTTTTATGGGGGGAGAAGAGTTGCCCGTTAGCTTCTGGAGTGAGAGTTCCTATGCGATGTCCCTCTCATAAGGACCTGTAGGACATCTGTTGAGAAGGTGCAGCCTGCTTCATGTTGAGATGGTTGTCTGAAATGTCCTTTTTTTTTTCTTTCTTTGTTTCCTTGCAGGTTTGGTGTCTATGTTCCTCTGTGCTGCTTCCACCAGGACAGCAGAGCACAGCCCCTACCTGCGGACTGTGGTTACTTGGTACAGGACCAGATGGTGGATGATGGGGCTTCAGCTGTCAGCAGCCTGGTCAAACCCAAAGATTTCCTCTCGCTTCTGTGGGAATCCCTGAGAGAACAGTTCAATAATCCTACGTCCATCCCCACCCACAGCTGCCCCCTTTCCCCAGATCTCATCCGCAATGAGGTGGAGTGCCTAAAAGCAGACTTCAACCGCAGGATCAAGGAAGTTCTCTTCAACTCTCTCTTCAGTGCCTACTACGTGGCATCCCTGCCACTGTGTTTTGTGAAGGTAGCTCTTGTCTGGCTCTCTCTGTGCCCCTGCCCGCCGTCTCCTTCTGAATGTTGTGTGAACTGCTGCCAGGCCAGATTCCTGGTTAATTCCCCTTTTCTCTGTCTCCCCTTTGGCAGCCCGGATAGCGGAGCATGGCTGCATCCGGAGTGCACTAGTACTGCTCCTGGTTGGCGGATAGGTATTGCCATAAATGTGATGCACCTCTAGTCCCATCAACCCACTTACTAACTCCCCTTCTCCCACCCCCTGTCCAAGGCAGATGGATAGCTGTGTTCTTCCTAGAAGAGGGAACCAGTTGTTACCCGCCTCAGATCCAACATCCTGGCCTTCGAGTGCTTGGATCAGAGGCTCTGGTGGTCAGCCCGTTAGAGAACAGAGCCAACTGGGATGCTTGGCAAGCTAAATCCAAGAACCTCTTGTCAGTGTGGGGGTTATATTTTTTTAATCTGTCATTTTTCTAACTTGAATGAGCTCCACTGAGTGATGTTGTAGTGAAATGGGCAGGGGTCCACAGTTCATGTAGCCATCTTGGTGCAATTGGTGCTTCTGGGGCAGTTCTGTGTCAAGCAAACCCCCTTGTTATCTGCTGCTGGAGGAGGAGATGCACCAGCTGCAGCATCATCCCCTGCCCTTTCTCCTTCAGGTCAAGGAGAAGGGAGTCTTGAGTGTTTCCTAAGCTGTAACCCTCTGAAATCACCAGTCCAAAAGCGCATGCCTGTAATGTGTGGTGTGGGTCTGCTGGATGCACACGCAGTACGTCCCTTGTCATTCCTTCCTCCAGTTTGTGACAGCAGTGCCAAGTTCTTATCTGGTCTCTTTGCAGAGCACCCAGTACTACGACATGCGCTGGTCCTGTGAGCACCTCATCATGGTGTGGATCAATGCCTTTGTCATGCTCACCACTCAGCTGCTGCCTCCCAAGTACTGTGACCTGCTCCACAGATCAGCTGCCCACCTTGGCAAGTGGCAGAAACTAGAACATGGTTCCTACAGCAATGCTCCACAGCATATGTGAGTGTGGGGATGGGGAGGGGTTGGCATGCCCAGGAAGGGGCCAAGAAGACATTCTAGTAGATAAGCAAATATCAGCAGTGCTTATCTACTGAGGACACTTCTCTATTCCCCGTGCATCTCTGCTCGTCTTTCTGTTCCCTAGAAACAGAAACATCTACTGTAGAGACCTGTCTGAGCTCCTCCCGTCACTGCTGGTTCCTTCCCAGAAACAAACGCTGAGATTGTTCTTGGGCACTGGAGAAGGGGCTTGTGCAGGGGCAGGGGGCCGCCCCCTCCGATGCGGTGCGATAGGTTCTTGCACTGGGAACCATTTGTTCACTTTACTCAGAGTGGGCTTATGATCACCTCTCTGTGCTTTTCCAGTGAGAGCTAGGATGTGTCCTTGTGGCAGAGGCTTTGGTGTTTTTGAAGATGCAGTCCGTTCCTGTGAACCCACGTTTGGGGAGTTGGGAACGCAGATGCTAACGCTCTGGCATTCTGTCCCCACAGCTGGTCAGAAAACACAATATGGCCACAAGGAGTTCTGGTACGACGTAGCCGGTGCCTGTATAAAGCAGTTGGGCCTTACAACGTAGCAGTGCCTTCAGATGTGTCCCACGCCCGCTTTTATGCAAGTATCTCTTCTCTTGCTCGACATGTCACGATTGTGGGAGGGAGGAGAGGCTCAAACCTAGCTGCAGCAGAGCAGATGGTGCAGAACAGAGTTCAGGGCTGCACAACAGCCTGTTGCTGCTCAACAAAATACGTGTTTGCAGTGGAGAGGCTTTCCCATTGCATCATTACAGTGACGTCTGGGCAAGATGGAAGCCACAGCTGCCTTGTCAGTGCTTTCTGATGGTGGTGACGCAGCTCTCCCATCAGGCAGTGGCATATTCTTAAGAGGTTCTAGTTAATGTCTTCCAGGGAAATGGGAAAGTATGTCAGCTGGCCAATAGGTTATTTCACCCATCCTCCCCTTCTCAAGGAAAATGACACTTCTACATGCCTTGTTTCTTATGCTGCTTTCCCTAAATAGCAGCTAGTGGTGGTCAAAGTACAAACATTTCTTCTGCCCAGCACAGTGGTCACTAGTTCAGTGGTGCCTGACAGCATTACGGATGTACCTCTCCCCACTTTAACACCGCAACAAATTACAGAAATCTGTCCTCTTTTACTGTTCCCCTGCAGTTCCTTTTTCACCGTCCATTACGGCTGCTCAACCTGCTGATTCTGATCGAAGGCAGCGTGGTCTGCTACCAGCTCTACTCACTGCTGCGCTCAGAGAAGTGGAACCATACCCTCTCCATGGCCCTCATCCTTTTCTGCAATTATTATGTCTTATTTAAGCTCCTCCGGGACCGGATAGTATTAGGCAGGGCATACTCCTACCCACTTAACAACTATGGACTCAAGGCACACTAGGCCGGCCTTTGGTCTCCCCTTCGCTTTCCCTTCCCCCAGGGCGGGGAGGGAGCCTCAGAAAAAAAAAAAAAATATTTTCGTACAGTTCTATTTTTTTCTTGCGGCGTTTATAAATATTTAAAATATTTTATATTTTGTATACTATTGTTTTTGTGGGGCGGGAAGGGAACCAGTGGCAATTAAATGTCGCTTTA